ACTTGGATTTACTTCATCTTATTGATGAAGGCCACACAATATTTCTCTTTCTTTCCTGTATTCTCCACAAACTGCTGAAGACGTCAAAGCATTTTCTTCAACATTTATGAGGCTGGAGACACAGTTGAAGCTCGATTTGTTTAACAGCACAGTTGTGTTTCAGATTTGATCAGTACCTAGTTGCATCCAGAATGATCTGGAGAAGGTGAAGACCAAAGTCCCAGTCTGACGTTTTAGTCACATTTCAGCTTGATGGTTTTTGTCAAGGTATTATCTGTCTTCTGTCAGACATTCGAGCCCCTGTGGAGGCCATGTGCTCCTCTCCCTGCCAGCTGAGGCAGGTGAATTAGGGCCAGCTGCACCTGACTTCCTACCACCAGCAGACAAAGCTTCCAGGTCCCCAGGTACAAGCAGCTCCATTTGTTTTCATCAGCACAAGCCTCCTTCTCTTGGGTTTGCCTGAGGAGAGTGTTCGCCCTTTACCGCTCAGCCTAATTACTGACTCACACTAATGGCTCATTACTGATTCAAATTGCTCAGTCTGTTGGCTGCATAACTGGGCCATTAGCATTTTCTAGAGGTAAGACTCTTGGAAAACAGCACAAAAAAAAGCCACAGAATGGGCCAACTTGCCCACAATTACAGCCCAGAATTTTCCTGCCAACAAAGCCTGCCTTTAAACTAATTTCTGACAGTTAAACCCACAAAAAGGAACCCAATTCTACATGTTTAATTGGCAGGAATTTCAAGTTGCTCATCTTAGGTTTCTCAAACTGCTTCAGTGTTTTCTTTTAGGCTGCAAAACTCGTTGAAGAAAGCTCTTTGCAGCTCCAGACAAGAGTCATGTCTACAAGTTAGACAGTAAGTGTACAACAAGCTCAACCAGGACTTTGCTTTCTGCAGGGCCATCAGAGCTTACATTTCACCAACAAGTGTTCAGGGAATTGCAGATGCTATTGTCAGCTTTTGTAATAGGGAAACATGACAAGTCAAAACACGCCTGGAACTTCTTGCACTGCTAAAGACTTAATAAAAGAAAAAGGGAGATCACACCACTCAAGACTCTTTATGACTGACACAAAGGTACTCCAGCCCAAATTTACCCTGCAGTTGCATCATCTTTAAATCCCAGATTACTGAACCAACTATCCTTTTCCACTTCCTTCATTCAGTTGGTTTAAAAATGGTATCATACAGTGTCCAGAACAGTAAACTACCACTAATGAACCAGTATCCCCACTTCAATGTATTTCCTCTTCACTCACTTTTAATTCACTCTGTTTCTAGTTTTAAGAAGGAAGACCAAGTGACTTTACAGAGATAAGCAGTTACATGGCTGTTTTTTACATCCCTCTGATTCCTAACTAGACTACTTTTAAAACCTTCTTGTTGACTGTAAAAGACACTACTCCTGATTGCAACATGCTGAATCTGAGCTAAAGCCCCAACACTGCCCAGATAGAGAAAATAAAACTTTATTTTGTTTCATGTTTACTTCTTTTGTCTCAAAGTATGGCACAATTTCCCTTTGGCTGGAAAGGAATGGTCTGCATTCTTTAGGCAATGAAGAAATCCAGTAACGTTGGCTCCAACGATGCCTTTCACTGCTTCTTAAAACATTAACAATGTCTAGTGGGAGGGACTGGGGAGATCCAGACCTCTAGAGGACAGCATACATTTTCCAAGTGTCTCAGGATCTTCCAACTAACCAGCAATTGTAGCAAATTAATGCAAGAAGCTCCTTTTGAGAAAAGAACGTACAAAAGAGCAACAGAAATCTGCAAGTTATGGATATCCTAATCTCACAGAAGAGTAATTACATTCCTTGGCAAAGTTCTTAGAAACTTGTTCTTCATTTGTGGGATAAAGTCAGCATAAAAAGGACAGTGATAAGTGTCTGAGCTGCAAAGTCACAAAGCAAGCATGTCCTGGAGGGCCTGGGTTTCCATTCCACCTCATGCAAACTTGCCTCCATCTCCCCAGGCCCAGGTCTGCTCTGCCTTCCAGCAACTGAACGCTTCTCAGCCACAGAACAAATCAATATGGCCTATTTTAAAGTTTTAAGTTAGGTGCCAATTTAATTTGATTTAAATTACCTTACAGGGCAAATTGTATGACTAACTGGCATTACATCATACAGCAACAGCAGCAATGTAAATATGGATAACCAGAGCATGGAATTTAAAAATAAGAAGCGTCTCTTGCCAGCATGCTTGCTTGTTCTCTGCAGAAAGCTCCACAGAACCACTTCTGGAACTACAAGGCAAGTCACATGAACCTAAAGCTATTTTGTCTTCTTATCTGTAGAGAGAGAGCCTGTGAATGGAATTATGTTACCTCACATCTTCTGGTACTCCAACATACCTACCTGAGCCCCAGAAATCAGAGCTAAACAGGAAGGAAAAGAGGGCAAAAGATCTGGAGAAAAAGTTATTACCAATAACCAGCCTTTTTCTCCTTCCGACATTAATTTGCCTTTTCTAAAGGAGAGCTAAAATGCTAGTAAAGTCTTCATTTGTTACCCAGCAACATAAGCCTACCCATCCACACTGTTTCTAAGGCAGAGCAGCCTCCACCTTTCTGCCCTGAAGACTTGAAAGGCATGAAGTTTATTAGCTCATATTTTACATTCCTGTATGAATGAGAAAAAAGAAATCACTTTTGAGAGTCTTAGCTATGCTTTGTCTTTCTCAGAGTACCTATTCTGTGCCAGATATGCTCTTTGACTTTAAGACCCTCACTCAGGTATGGAGAGAGGGAGGAGTCTGCTGTACAATGGGAAAATTTCAAAAGCCCCCAAATCAGATGGCAGTTGCACAAAGAGATATCAGAAGTTTCCAGTCTGTGCCTCTACAACAGGAAAGTTATCACTGACCCAGTTTCTTGACGGACCTCTCCTCATCCTGCCCTTTTTGTCACCTTGCAAATGGCAGTCTTTGCAACAAGTGTCTGAACACTCAGCTAGAATAGATGGTTATGTGCATCTGGCTTGCCATCAGTCTTCAGAGAAGCCAGACCTGCAGCAACCACCTTGCATCAACAAAGCCAGGCTGTTCTTGATTTCAGCTTCCTTCCAACAGGACCTTTTTCAACTGGAATTTTTAACCAAGGTAAATTAAGGCAAGAAAAAATACTGATAAGAATTCATTTTTAGATTAGTCATTTTAACCAGTAGATGAAAAAGTAACGCTATGTCCACCAAATTTTAAACCAAATTATTACAGCTTCTAAAAGCCCTCTTGATTTTAAAAGACCCATTTAATAGCTACTCATAAGTATTCTTCTAACATGATTTAATAAGGCCAGACTTGCTTAAGTGTGAGTTTCTAGCAAATACAAACAGATTCAGAACAGCAGGAGACAGAAAGTTGACATGACTCCTTGAAGCATGTTGGCCCAAAGGGAAACGTTTCCGCTTTGACACCTACTGCACAGGACATCTCTGCAGCCACCTGACCAAGCATACCATCCTTGAAACAGGATGCCACAGGCAGCAACAAGGAGAATCAATTTATATTACAAATTTTAAATTAATTCATACCATTTACAGTTTTCATTTTGCATGTTCCAACCTCTGAGTTAATATAGGGACTAAAGGAAAAAAAACAAGTTCAGATGCTTTCCCCTTTTGCTACTGTTTCTTAAGAAATCCAATGTCAGCTGCTTTGAATTCTAGAACAACAGACCAAGACTACCCAGGTAAAAAGCCTACAAATAACTCAAAAATAACGCAGATTTCAAGAGCTATTTGATTTGCTTGTACTTCAGGCTAGACTGGCAATGATTGCATTAACAGAATTATAACCATGTGTTCAGGTGCCAATTATACATTAATGCATAATTACAGGTTTAAAGAGACATATCCTTACCTAAAATAAGAAACAGGCTTCAGCATTCAGTCTCAGCTAAGTAGTTTTCCTTGCATATTTCTTCTCCTTGCCTCTTCTTAAGCTATTATATACAAGCAATAGGCTGGAGAGCAGATATGCGCAAAACACATCTCTTTTCTGAACAGATCAAATCCCTATTAAGTGCTTTCAGGACCTAACTGACATTCCCAGCATGGAAGGTGTGCCTCAAATTTAAGTATCAGCATCAGTGTTTTCCTTGGTTTTGAAGTGTCAGGAATTACTGGTTTAGAGAGTTAGCACAAAAAAATCCTGCTTCAGTTATCAGAACAGGAACCTCTGCCAGAAAAGGGCCTTCATCATCACCAGCAGAAGTGAGGATGCATTCAGCACAGTTTTCCTGGAGTACGGAGACAAACTCAAAAGTTGACTCTCAACTACAGCTAGAGGGGAAAAAGGCTGAAAATTAGGGTGTGGAAAAGGCCTAAAGACGTATTTGACTGCTCCTCAGTGTATACCTCAGTGGTCAACCCTCCCCAAACCATTTCAGTGAATGCAAACCAGAGGACACAGGGAAAAGCATTGAATACTCAGGAGAAGAGCAATGACCCATCTAATGCCTTGCTCAGGAAAGGCAAGGACCAAAGACAGGAGTGTAAAGAAGAATCAATGCCTGTGAGGTTTCCAAGCACTGCTAAGGTTTAATCCAGCACTGCTCCAGCTGGCCAGAGGGTTTTATGCACTGTTAAAAAAACCCACCTTTCAATGCATACAAAGCCACAACCATGACATTGGCACTCCTGTTTCCTGGAGTACAAATCATACCGACAACCTTCCTAATCTCTAGGGATTTTACTGAGAAATGCTCAGTATGTTACTTCAAGGTGAACAAGCAGAGATTATTCTGAACCAGCCACTCCTTTGGGAAGTTCAGCAATCTTGTACTTCAACTCAGAGCAGAGCACACCCTTTTCTACTGCACAGGGAGCAGAACAGTCATCTTACTACTCCCTGCTGAAGGGGAGCTCTAGTGGCACATTCACCCCTGCAGCCCGGAGCTGGTTAGGAACCCAGGTTCTGGGCTATCTTAAGGGACTTGGCTGGGCAGCTGCTGTTACAAAACAAGCTGGTGAAGCACAGGACTCCACTCACCTTTCCTTCCTGAATTACCCTGGCTTGATGGTTTATCAGTTACAGAACCTAAAGGAGAGGTAAAAAAAAGAAGAAAAAAGACATCAATTTAGATGCTGCATGATCACACAGAGCATATGATACCACATTAATACAGTCAATATCCCAACCCATAAAGCATCTATTTTACTTGTCAACAGCTCCATTTAAGACTCAGAGAGCCTGCAGCTTCAACCAGTGTGAAAAGTATAAGGAAGTTTTATGCATTAAGACATTAAATTGGGATAAGGGTAAACAAGAAATCTTTAGTAGCTGGATCTAGCGATTTGAAAGACCTCAACAGAGCATCATGCTAGTAAGAAACCTGGAATAAATCCAAGGGCAAGAAGGAAAGATCATTAAGAGTCACTTCTTTCATTTGCAAATGTCAGGAAGAACAAATCAAAAGCAGATGGGGAGAGTGTGCAGGGAATGCAAACGCAGTATTCTAGAGGAAGGGGATTAAGTGGGACAGTTTGCGGGAAATGGATTTCAACCAACCCCTGAACATCCCCAGCTGTTTGAAATGGGACACTGAATAAGATCCAGCATGTACTGGAACAGAACACATCTTGGGTTGTTTACTAAGAGCTTCACATAGCATGTATGATTCTACAACTGCTTCTGCACCCTGCTTTAGGGCTTCATCACAGTTTTCTACTACAACTTGAACAGGTAATAAAAGCTTTTCAAATAAATCCATTACCAAAGTGTATAAAAATCTATGACAAGCTTTTGTTGTTGTTGTTTTGTTAGGGTTTTTTTAATAGCTTCATTCACAGGGAACTGATTCTTCCATGCACCATTACTAAGCAGTTCCAGTGATTACAGAACACTCAGGAAACATGGATCAAAAGTCAGCTTCAAAGAAGGTAGCTCTGACACACCCAACAATCTGATCAAGACAAACTCTGAAGGTAAAGTATTGCTTGGACACTTTTACTTGCAGATCAGTTCATCACAGATCTGAATTACAAGTAGTAAGCACAAACTCAATGTTAGTCATCATATGGCTAACATCTGTGTCCTCCAGTACAGCATGACTTAACTTTTCTGCAACATGATTTTATAAACAGCACAACACTACCTGAATAGATCAATAAGAGTCTAAAACATACCCTACCCAACAACAGACTCAGTATGAGTCTAAAACATACCAAATGATATAATGGAAAGGGTGTCAAAGTCATATTCTAAAGGTTTAAGCCAAATTACTGTAAGATTGCACCTTCTACTAAAATAGGATATTAATATCTTTTTCTTTCCACACGGCTGTGAAAAACTAAGCATCTTCTCAAGGTACATTGACTCACTGGTTCTCAGACAGCTCTCCCACTCAACTCAAACCCTTATGCAAGTCACTTATGTTTGTTTATCACCACAGAACACCCTACAGCCAAGAGGACACCAGATAATGTGAGAAAAATTCAAAATCCTAACAGTTTGATTGCCGTCATGCTCCCACCTACAGGGCAAACATTGCAAGGTGTGAGAGAAGAACTATACTAAAAACCCCTGAGGTGCAGATTGTAGAGCATGAAGCCTGAGCAGCATAAGCAACATAAGCAGCAGTGCTTATTTGGCATCACTGAACATGTTAGAAACACACGCCTATGCTTACTGCCTTTTTCTCCTTCTTTAATTTTTTTGAGGGGGAGAGAGGAAAGTGAGAAGGGCAGTACAATTCTAGTGTTGTCCTTCAATTCTCCCCAAAGTACAGAAGAGCTTCTCAACCCTTCCTGTGTTTACTGTGGTGTTGTCACAGCAGCACTGTTCACCATAGCTCACGAAGCTAGACCACTATTGATCAGGGCCATATGAAAATCTAGAGCCCCATCTCATTCCCCTTGAGCCATGGACTACCATATTGAATGCTGTGGAGAAGAAAGGAAAACAACATTACTCCATTTTAAAGAAACTTGTGGATGTGGTCTCAATAAACTGCTGGGTGAAAAAGTCATGTCAAGCTGAGTGACCAGAAACACATAACATGAGTTATAATAAACATGAGTAACAGCCTGGGTCTGGACATCCCTCCTGTGAGCTGTGGTGCAAGCCCAGTGCTGCCCACCCCAAGACACAAACACAGGGAACCTAAACTAAGCAACGTAGTCAAAAGACCCAAATTCATTATAACAGCAGGACCCCAGAAACTGACAGTTTTGCAGAGAACCACCTTCATGAACTAACTGAAATCACTCTATACAAAAAATTACTCCACGTCCTGCAAAATACCCAAGAATCATTTCTTTAGAATATGGCCCATAGAAAAAAGTTATCCCATCTTTTCAGCAAATCTTTGGTGTAGGTGTACACAGCAACACTGTCTCTTGCCTTGGCTGCCACAGGTTGTCGCCTTGGTAGTTTTCCTTTCACTTGCGGTAGTGTCTGTATCCTAATTGCAGGGTGGATGTGCCAAAGTCCAAAGGGCAGTGTTAAGTGGGGTAAACTGGCCAAGTCACCTGGAAAGATCAGGCTCTCTCAAAAGGATGCAATCACCCCAACCCTCTTTGGTTATGAAGTTAGTATTTGCTGAAGCCACTCCCACAGTACCTGAACATACAGGAGTTTTGTTCTGTACAGAAGAGCCGCTAATAGGCTTGCCATCAGGTGTCACACACCAGCAGTATCCAGTGTAGGTATGGCACTGCACCTGTTTAATAAAACAAAGAGCAGGCATTTCATTTCTCACTCCTATCACCAACCACTTTATTATAATTCAGCATCTTATTGGAAGTCCCAACCCAGAGGTATCAAACACATGCTTCAGAGAGAGGAGGTATTACAGAAGACTACCTTTGATACCATTTTCTTTTCTTCCCTCACCTCCCCCCCATCCCAGGAAAGGTGATTTCTCCTACTCCAACCCCTGTAGCTGAAATTCAGGAGGCAAAAGAAGTTACAAGTAATCATCTGAGAACACTTTAGCTGGGGAATGCAGAAGTTGTGTCTCCCCTCATTCCACCCTCTGCTACATCCCACTTAGTGTTTACTATTAAAAACTTGTCCTGCTGCATCCTAGCTGGGTTATGGAAAGGCCACCCTGTCCCAAATTCTACAGCCTTTGCTTGAGAGCAGCTTCTGTAGACATTTCAAAAGCATTCTGCTCAGTACCATGGCTGGAAAAACACAACACTGACTTGGTTAACAAACCTTCTCCAGATAGATTTAAGCCCTATTCTGTTCTGTAAGCCCTATGTCAAACTTACACAGCAGAAGCAAGATCCAACATGCTTGCTCCTCACATATTGACATGGACTTAAGAACATTTTATGAAGGTTCTAGTGAGTCAAAATGTACACAGTATAAAATTCATCTTGATTGATTTTAAATCTCTACTTCTGAACAGAACATCTAGAGCTGCCCAGTTCCTTTCTTCATCACAGAAAGACACCAAAAGTGCTAATTCAGGTACAGAACTTCTCAAGTAAGAATAGATAAGTCCTGATCTAGCCGACTGATCCTAGTAACATCTATGGAGATACTAATTCAGCCACACTAAAATTTCATTCAGCCTAACAAATCTAATGAAAGCCTCAGCTTTCAAAGTAGCCAGCAATGGGATGAAATTCAGGATATCTTTGACATCTTTGAGATAAAAGTAAATTATCATTGTACAGGCATCTTATGTAAATACAAACAGGTCCCAAAATGCTTTCTAACAAGTATAGTTTCAGCTGTATTTAAACATGCACATCAGCACCTTGAAATGGTATAGAAGTCCTGTTACTATAAACTAGAGATGGTTCCTTCAATACATTTCTGAAAACAAGCCATGAAATTAGACCACTTCAGAAACTGCCTTATTGTTTTACTTGTAAAATGAATTGTGTCCATTCTCTTTTTCCAAACAAATTCATTGAAACAAAGTTCCAATTCCAGTCCTCTTCACACAGAAGAGTGATAGGGTGTTTGCGCTAGTCCCCTCATTAGGGACCCTTCAGAGCAAAACCAGTCATTCCCCCTTCACTGACAGCTGGCTTCAATGCCCTAAGGTAGCAAAGTTTGTTCAGAGACTTAATGACAGTTTCTTTAAAAGGCTTTGAATATCACATAAAACATGATCTAAGAGCAATTATAACACGGTACGTCGTGTTTATCTTGGGTTTTACTTGTTTATCTTGGGTTTTACTAAAGTGCAAATCAATCATTTTGCCTCAAGCATTTGCTTTTAGTAGCCAAAATCAACAGTAATCTCATGTACCCATGTTATTGCAGTCACTGTCACTGCTATTTGCAGTTTCATTTTTCTTCTCTCAATATATCACAATATTGATTGCAAATTACTCAGAAGTACTATGACTATAATAAGCAATAATCAAGTTAGGAAGTATTTGTTATTGCTCAGTGTAATCAATTGAACACTCAAAACAAATGTGATGGAAATGCTCAGGTTTGTGTTTATCTTTGCTGATCACACACACACACACAAGACTACATTCCCAACAGCACAAGAAGCCATCTTTACATCTGATTATTAATTGTAAAAATCCTACCAAGAGATAGAGCTAAATGCCAGGATAGGGTCTCAAATTTGTAGGGCAAGACCATTCCATGTTTCATTATATAAAAAAATCCAGTGTACCCAGCATTTAAAAAACTCAGTCCCTTAGCCAAGTCTTCAGAAAATAGCAAAGTACATGGCAAAGGAGTCCAAAAAAAATATATTGACACAAATTCAGGATAGATGTAGTAATTAAGACTATGTTATATAACTCACCTCAGTGGAGAACTACAAATTACATACACTCATTTATGCAAGCCAAGCACATTACATCCATAAAAAAGTGAAGTAATTTTGTAAATAACTAGACTAAGAAATGCTAGTCTTCCTTCGACTAGTATCCCATGACCTTTTCTTCTCCCATGCTGCCATTAAAAAAAGGAAGAAATTGCCATTAAAAAAAAAGAAGAAAAAAAAATCAGAGACTGACAGCACTCAGCACTTTCACAACCACAAGTTTTACTGCAGTACCAAAGGACCTCCCTTCTACAGGTAACTGCAATTAAATCTCAGCCATTATCCTAAAGGCCAGAGAGCCACCCATGAAGAATGGGCAGTTCAGAAATCTCAAGAATCAGTGCAGTTGTTTTTCCTGAATGTCTTCACACTGAGACACACTACCTTTCACCATGATACCTGAGCAGGTCTCAGTACAATTTCAAGTCATAACAGTAGCCTACAGTCTAGAATTTGCAGCTTAAAGGCTGGAAGGGAAGGTATCCCCTCCATCACTTACATAGGACTGGTATGACACTGATAAAAGTGTCAAGGCAATAGCTGATCTAGTACCTTTTCTAAGCACTGTGTGTAAACAAACATAAAATGTCAACTGTTTCAGAGCACCTATGATAAAGAATATCCAAAAAGTGGGGGTTTACTTAAAAATTTTCCATTTGTTTGAACTTTTATTTCTAAATAAAATTTCAGTCATCAACCCAAAATTCAACCTCATTCTCATCCTATTCCCAAAGTAGAGAGATCTTTAAACACTTATCAGAAGAGTAAGTAAGCATGACAGATGTTTACTGCACAGATCCAATCTTCAGTTATTGAGTTTTGACTCTATCAAAATACATGTTAGAAAAAGTGTGTTTGACTTTTTTGGCTCTCAGTCTTCTAAAGATAAACACTAACACAGTCTTATATACTAAAATATAACCTTATATATTTAATGAACTTGATTGTTAACCAAGCTGCAGCTACAGAACATTTGTTACTGCTGGAAAGGCACATGACAGAATTTGGTATCTCAGATTAACATACACCTGTCCAACAGCCTGAACATTGTAAGTTACATAATAGGAAATCAGACAAATAAAACCTGCAAATCATTTGAGATCTTAAACAGATTCCTCATTAACATCTACATTAAAAAACAAAACAAACAAACCAAAAAAAAAAAAATCCAGCTACATTTTAAAGCTCTGCAAGCAGCCAAATCCCTGATCATGCAGGAGTACACTGCTCCTTCTCATGGAGAGATAGAACATCTTACCTGTGTCTCAACTGAAGGACAAAAAACATGACGGACAAACCCAAGAAAAATTGCTCCATATCACCAAGCAATTTTCCAAAATGTCCAAAATTTTCCAAAATTCAAATCCTGGTTACATCCCCAGGTGCTCCCTGTAAATGCTGTAAAAACAGCTAAATAAATAGCTCCAAGTCAGCAGGTCATCTAGTCTGACCCAGGGAGAAACTGCCAGTGTGACACAGAAATTCTTTAATCAAGCCTTTCCTTTGTCCAAGCCATTCAAGCTTGGCTAGAAAGTCCTCTGAACACAAGTTTAGTGGTACACAACCAGCACACTGATGGCCTGATGGCTATTTATCTTAATTCTACATGGTGATGCCTCTGTTCTGGTTCACATGACTTGCTGTAATGCTTAGACCCTGCATCCTGTCATACTTTTTGCTACATTGAGTCAGTTGAATATTGTCAGAAGCATGTCTTACCTTTATAGACAATTTTAGGGGAGCTATGAATCAGTCTGCATCTTGTGTTTAAGCCTCTTTGGGACTGCAGCCCCTTAGTTTTTGCCACTTTTTCTGTTCTGCAGATATTTAATTCTTCACAAATGATTCCCACCAGGGCTTTATGCAGCACCCACATCCCTCAAGTCTATGCACCACTCAAGAAATGCTTGCTCCAAAGGAATTTCACTATTCACATAACCAGGGAAAGAAATGATCTGAAGCAAAAGAATCTTATTCAAGATCAAGGGCATTCCCATCACACATGCTGATACATATATAATTTTTAGTTCAGGGAAAGGGTCCCCAAGAGAGGCTTTCTGCTTCTGACACAATGTTCCACTTTGAAGCTAAGAATGACCTTACATTGTCACTTTCCTTAAGTATGTCCACTCCCACTTTAAGAACTTGCTCCTTTGATATCTCAACTGGTACCTCTTTGAAGAAACACCATAAATAACCAAAGTTCTTACCTCCTTACCCACTCATGGTTTATCTTTAGCACAATATACAAATGAGAAACACAATGAAAGCCACAGAGCTTTTAAGTAGCAAACCTGCAAAGCAGTACTCACAGAAAGCTACAGCTATTGAAGGGATGTCTTCTAATTAAAAAAAAAAGGCAGAACTACCTACCATTTAAAAATCAGATGCTTTATGAAGAGTTTATTCAATCTAGCAAGATAGACTGTGTTCTTTTGAAGGGAGAGGTGAATTCATTGAGAGCTTAGTATTGTTGGAACCTGAGCACTGAATAATGGAACAACAGGCAGCATCCAGGGAATGAAGGACATGTTTACACAGTGCCTCTGCTGCATTAAGAAGTGAGTTTGTAATTCTGCGCAGCATCATGCTACGCTAGCCAATACAAAGAAGCAGACTTAGAAGTCATACTGAAGGCTGAAAGGGTTCCCTACATCTTAAGAAAGAGCTGTTTGTGGAACTTGGGAGAAAACAGAATTTGATATGTGCACTAGCATAGTGTGGAGTGAAACTACTGGTACGGACCATAATATGCATCACTCTTTTCAAGCAGACTTGTATGATGAGATGTGGGAATGATCTGGAAGCTATCTCATAACACAGAACTGCTGATAGTCAATCCCTCACTTATACTGCCATAAGACCACAAGTGTGACTGATGCACTCACTTTAAGAAAAAACTCAGTGCTGTGTCATAACTGCACCAGGAACCAGATTTTAAGAAGCCTAAACTCAAAGAAATTCTCCAAGGAGATGTGCCCTCAGACACTTGTATGCAGACTTGTGAGGAAAAGAAACCACAACGAGACAGTGGAAGGTGGCAGCAAATAGCAAGACATACCACAGAGTTCCACAAAACTACACCCCCAAGGCAGGATTAACATTATTCATGTTCATATTAATCTGTCTGAAACAGATCCCTTTTAAAATCTCAGCAACCTTTTCTGAAAAACGGCTTGGGGGAAAACTAGGAAGAATGCAAGTCTCCCTCAGCCCATGGCAACAAACCCAATGGCACTAGGCAGCAAAAGAAAGTGTGCAGATTACCCACTAGTGCCTGTTGTTTATGAAGAACAGATCACAGCAGGTTAAGTGCAGCATGGAAAAGGAATGGCATTTATGGAAAATACAGCATAACAGCAAAAAGGCAAAAGTCTTGGGAACAGAAACTGGTTTTAGTCATGTTCAATTCTGCACAACAGTACATGACCTCAGTTTTCTACAATTAATCAAATTACTTGTATCTAACAAACATTCTTATGTTGTGAATAACTCAAATTTTATCTGCCTGCTGATATTACTGTGGGCTAAGTGTAGAGAGATTTTGTTAGAGGAAGTAATATTCCCCACACAGACTGAAATATAAAGACATAGCAATTCTAGAGGAATTATTCAGGTCTGCTTCCCAATTTACAGTCATCCTATCATGCCTGCAGTGACACCAGTTCTTCATGTTGCAAATCCATGTCTCATTTTCAGATGCATAGGTAGCACTAAAAGGGGATTTGATAAGATCTTTGCAATTCACATACTCGGCAATAAGGGAAGCAGGACACATTGCATAGAAACAGTTATGACAACCAGTGAAGTGACAAGCACCAACTTCTCTTGATGCAGTACACAAACCCCATTATACCTAGTCATGCATAAAAAACTGGAAAACTGATCAGCTGAGCAACAGATTCTGTGGCAACACTGCCCTCAGTCTAAATTTCACAGGCAGTGAAAACCAGACAGATCATACAAGTGCTTTAAGACATGCATGATGTCTCTCTGTGCAAGGGTTTAAACGCAAGCCAAATGAAGGCCTTTGCCTCTAGGCCCTTCTCCCTTTCAGCCCTGTTGCCACATCTAAGTGTGACAGATCCAGCCCTGCAGGGAAGCAGGAGGAGGTAAGGTGAGTGTGGTCTTCCTCCTGCAGTCGCTGTCCATGTGGCGCGTGCTCCTGCTCACAGAGCAGCAGAGGAGCTGGGTTCTCATCACCACCCCACAGCCCCACCCAATCTGCCCCGGATCCACCCCAAATTCACTACTGAACTGGGTACGACTCCAGGAGCTGGAAAGGGCAAACTTGAGCTGCTTGTCAGAGCCCCACTTCCAGTGCTTACCCAGAGTGACTGCAATTTAGTTTCTAATCAAGATAATTATGACTAACTACAAAAGCAACAGTTCAAGCTAGTTAAGGCCAAGCAGGTTCTCTGAACACAGTTACTATTACCAAATTCTCACACATCTGTACTGCTCTTGGTTTTCAGTCCTACAAAAATTTCAAGAATTTCCAACAATAAATTAATTTAATTAAAAATCAGACTCTTTTGAAGTGTGATGGCAAGGACAACGACATGAGCCTGAACACCTACTGTGTTCAGTAGGCTCAGCAAGATGACCTGAAAGAAAGTCCTCTACTTCTTGAATGAGCACTGTAACAATTTAAACATTTAATATTCTAAATATATGCATGCATCTTTGTTTCCTCTCTGATCAGAATTTTTCTTCAACATAAGACTCCCTTTTCAATAACAGTTACACAGAAAGGGTGAAGTTGTTGAAAAAGTCTCCCTAGCCAACTCTACATACAGAGTATATACCCTGAAACACATGCATCTGCTTAGTCTCTTGTTGGGATGGGGATTCCATGTTGAAGAACAAAGTGGGTATTTTTCCTAGAAACTTCATTGAGAGATGCTGTTCTGTTGTAGACCTCCCAACTGAGATTTTGGAGTCTAGATGGAGCAACACTGTGGGTATTGGACCAGAACAAACTAACAACAGTCCAGAGCTGAAGCTTCAGCAGGGCCTCAGGGACTTCACAAGAACACAGCCTCCCTGTAGAGCAGAACCCAGGAGCATCAATACTCTGCACAAGAGATGCAGTATCAAAAATACCTCCACCAGATGAGATCTAATCATGAGTTGCTGGAAGCAAAACTGTTTAGACTGTTCACCAAAATTCTAGTTTTTATACATCTTTTTTAAAATCACAATTTAATTCATTTTGATCAGAAGCTAAAGGAAATATTTGTCCCAAATGCAGGGTGAAACTAGTTAGCTTTCTTGGACATTATTTTTCACTTAAATCTTATGCAGGGACAATTACCTTAAATGCCACAATCTAACTGATGAAGCTGGTCCATGAGGTACATGGAACACAGGGTATTTTTATAAACCAAGGAATTATGTGACTTTCAGTTAATTCCAGATACAGAGATCAGAGGCTTCTTCCATCATGCCAGGTAAAACAAAAGCACTTTAGTGTTCACAGATAGAATGGAATGGAGGAAGAATGTGAAATACCACTTGGCTGCCAATTGACACCACACAATTTTTGTAAGCAGTTTCATGCTGCCTCTCAACTGGCAACCAACACTGGCTAAGGAATGTGCCAAGGAAAAGTCCAGCAACTTCTCCACAATCCAGACACTGGTACCAACCTTCAAAATAAACTTGTCTGAAACAAAGCTTTATCAACTATACTATCAGTCCTGCTTATAAGGATAAAAATTTCACCTACTTTCCTCTCCAAGAGGTTGATAGACAGGTGATAGACATTCCAAAGTTTTCTTTCATTATCTTTTTTCTTGAAGTATGAAATTTAACATGGGACACTTTGTTCCATGTTGGCCCACTGTACTAGCTTTTATAAGCATTAGCCTTCGGTGCCAACACAATCTGAGAAGCTCCACACAAAATCAAATTTCAACACGTAAAAGTGCAGTTAAACTGCAAGAAACTGCAGTCATCTTATCTCATGATGGCCCACACAGTGCAGAAATATAATGCTGCTCCAAAGAAGCATGCAGAGTTTGCAGGATGAATACAACTTTTTTCACTTCATCATCAAAAACAAAAGCAAAATAAAAACACTCCCACATACCAGATAATGGGAGGGTAAGGCTGAGGAGGGGAATAAAGTTTTTGGTGGGTTATCACAAAAAAAAAATCTTTCCTCTCCTATGCCCCCAGGCATCACAAAATGTTTGAAGCAAACCCAAATTTCTCAGCCTTTCTCATCTTTTTTAAGCCAATATTGATTCTGTTTTGGAATTTCTTCAGAAGACCTTACAAACAACCAATGTATCCTAAAATTTCTCATAGAAAGAAGGTATCTAGAGCAGTAATAGATGTATGGAAGGTTAGGCAAAAAACATTCTGTGATTTACCAAAATCCACAAAGTAGAGGTCACATGGCTGCAGGTTTTTGGCTTTTTAGATGCAAAACCGAGCAGACAGCATGACACTGTCAGGAAACTGTGCATGAGCCATTTTTAACAGCCAGTTCAGTCAGCACTAGGACACGACTCAACGTGCTACTGGTAACAGAACCAGGTATCACTTTTCATTTCTACCCTGCTTTGGCAAACTTCAGCAACTAAACAGTGAAGAATCAGAAACCCAAACTAAGCAGTCTCATCTCCTTTCTGCCAGTCCTCCAAATCCCTACAGGACATACAGTACAAGAAGTGCCCTGCAGAAGGAACACGCTGAAGAAACTGCTTTTTTTCCTGGGACAGGTGAAGCAGAGGTAATAGCAGAATCAGCTGCATCCACCCTACTCTGTGTAAGCCACAGCTCTCTTTACAGCTCCTCTTCATGGAAAAACTGACCTTCCCTGCAACTGTTTTTCTTTCTGTGCAACGCTGAAGATTAATGCCATTTGTTTCTGTAGGACACTGGAGCTGGATACTGTTGCATATGTGTACATCTTTTAAGGTATTGTGACTGAATCACAACCGCCATTTGATTAAATAAGTTCCCAGCATTAAATTTTACCCGAGGAACTGAGTCAGAATGTGCATGCACTCTGCTATCATCACTTGACTCGTGCCTTACCCCTGAATCTCCAACAGACACCTGCAGCCTGGCTGAATGAAGCAAACTGACATTTTACCTGCATGAATGATCCATCCTCATTGCATTCTGGGATGAAGACTGCTTCCTGGGGCTTCTTTGCCTGTTCCAGCGCTTGAGCTCTCTCTAATCGACACTTGCTTTGGCCAGCATCTATGAAGAGAAAAGCAAAGCTCACTTACATTGCAATTTGGCCCCTCTAAAAGCTACCAGATGACCCATGCAACTGAGGGAAAAACCCCCAAAACAAATAAATATAAAGCATAAAAGACTATTACCCGCACATTTACAAGGTAGATATGGAGTTATCACTCATGATCCTAAAGACAAAGACGAACCTAGACAATCAAACTACAAGCCAGTTAATTAAGAGCTGCCTAATTTCCTAGTCAATAGTTTTTTATGGTCATCTAAGGATCCTGGAAGTTTCTTTCAACCAGCACTGGAGCACAATGTCCACAAAATGAAAGGCCATTAACATTAATAGCCTGAAATTGGATGGCAGAGTATAAACCAAATAATTCAGGCAGAGCAGTGAACATGTGGAAAAGAAGTGATGACCCCCTCTTCTCTGAGCAACTCTCCCAGGAAGATACTAAAATAGCCAGTCATCCATAGGAACTTCCACCTTTGTGTGGTTCAGATGAGGCAGATAGGCCATTTCCTGTGCTTTCCTGAAACTCAGCTTTTACCTCTACTCCCAGTGCTTACAGCCAGGCGTGCATTACAACTCTCATCAGTTACTCACTTTGGAAACAAGAAAAAAACTTGCTCTGCAAGCACTGTTTGACGGGGTTAAGATCTCTGTTCTTACATCAGATGATGGCAAAGTATAGCACGACCCCTTCCACGCTGAGCTCACTGTTACAGAGTATACCCAGATAAGTCTAACCCTAATGACTGATGAGTCAAAAGAGGAAAGTTCTGCCCTGCAGAGATCTAGACTGACTTGGTGTTTACATTTAAAAACATCAGGTCTAACAATCCTGCTGTTCAGTCTAGAAAGAGAAGGAAAACAGTGAACATCTGTTTCCATGGCACTCTGACATCAGAACTAGCACCTACTTTTTTCTCCCTTGAATCCACTGATTAAAGATTTTCAGTACAGAAACTTCAAAATCTTTTAGCAGCACCATACAGAGTGAACAAGTTTCAATCCCCATTGTATCAGGCATGGAAATCATAACAGTTAACAAATTCCCCTGGATCCCTGAAGTTCACATTCTGTTTTCATAGATCGCATGAACTTTGACAAGAGAATCACAAATACCAGCATTAAATTAGAAAGTCAGTCTGGGTTCTTCGAGCAATTGAATTCACATTGTGTGGCAATAGAAGTAACTTCCATTTAGGCATCTCTAGACACAGAAATCAATGACAATGCTGTGAATAGTTTTGATAAAGACAGACCAAAGCTTTCAGGCCGAGTACTTTATTTATACGACTGATGACTCCAGAGGCTAAGTTTCCAGTTTGCCAACACAGTTTCATTTTAAACATATCACATTACTTCCCAAGAAGGATTTCACAAGGCTTCTGAAATTATGAAAATCAAGGCATTCTTTCTGGAAAAAGAATGATTCATAGTAATAGTACACAGTACAGATGTCAGCTGCTTAGGCACTGGGTTATAAAGCAACAGTACCTGTATAAATTCTGTCAATGACCACTGAGTGACCACAAGTTGGTCACCTCACCCCCCTGTGTCCTCATGTCACTTCTGATCCTATGTCACTAATTTAGTTTTTTGGGTGTTTTCACAATACCAAAGGACATGGAGCTTTGATCTCAGGTGGGCCCATCATGCACCTGTATAAAGTGTGAAATTGTTACAAAATCAGAAAGACTTGAATAAAATTTACACTGTATCATTTTGTCCAGTTATCCCATAAGCTTTGACTTACTCCTTTTTGCCTGCTTGCCAATGTGACCAGGTGATCAGACATTGTTTGCACATCTCCAGTGCAGGATAGTCCTGCCAGCTGATCCTTCCAAACACATGCTCGCTCTTTCAGCTGAAAAGGAAGCTCTGGCAATGCTTTTAACTGGAACACCTATCACCTGCAGATCTTCTGTTCAAGCTTAAGAATCTAATCTTGCTTGGCATGACAGAGGACATTATTACAAAACCAGATGGTGTGCCTGCACTTTGTTTCATAGCTGCTTGACTGAAAATACTTTCAACTTCTGCTTCACAGGAGACAACTAAGTAGCAAAAAAAAAAACCTAAAAAAAAACCCAGAATAGATTATGGAGATGTGCACTTGCGAGGGAAAAAACAGGTGTGAATTTCTTACGTGACAATCAAACCACAAGTTCCCAAATGAAAGTGTTTTCTAGTCTCTAAATATCAGGACACAAGACAGCAGGCAGGCATTTCTGGTTCCTCTCCTGAACATAAAACAAAAGCATAAAGCACTTCCACATAGCATCTGCATTAGTGCTGGCACACTCAACTACATGACTGAAACTGGATGCTTCAGCACAGAGCTGGTAGAAATAAACACTTTGTGGTATCCCCTGCAATATAAATACATTAGAAACCCAGGCAGAAGGGAAACTAACCCAGATCTTTGTCCAGTTTGTCTAATGAACAAAGAAACATGCACAAGATCAAGCCCTTACTTTAAAAAGATAATATAAACACATTACTGCTATGGCTACCATGTCCCTCCCAGCAATTTTAACTGGCCTTTATATATTGAACTCTCGACTCCCATCCAGCAGAGCACACTTCACAGTACACCACCACAGTGCTTAGTTGTTTCAGCATCTTTTGCACTTCAATCGTTGGCTCAAGTGGTGACTCTTCACAAATTGCTGCTGAAGTACAGAGAAGACAGTTTTTTCTCCTGTTCATGAACACTCAGGACTGATTATTTCTCCCATCCTCCCTCATTGATTTCCAAAGGTCATGCCAGTCCTTTTACAGCCTTGATTTGGAACAAACACCTATACACCACGCTGGGTGGAGAGGTGCGTGCATATTGCTATCTTTTTTGTCAGTCTTCCACAGATCAGTTCCAGTAAAAACAGTGCCTTTAAGATCAACATTTACCAGTTTGTTTTTAAAAGGACTGTCAATCCTTCTCTTCCTCACTCCACAGGCTGGTATTTTTATAATGTTTGCATCAACGTGTGATTTCAGTGGGATGACTTCACCTTGCTATTTTTGCTTTGTTAATTAGAAAATGTAAAGTATTACATAAGTGCCAAGTGTTTAAAAAGTAGCTGTCAAATAGCTCACCCCAAATAAGATGCATTACAAATTTTACTAAAGCCTGATCTTATGATTGTAGGTTCATATACCCTATTCTGCATTTTGACTGCTTACCCAAGTGTTTCAGCACTTTCTTCCCTGTTTTTAGAAATGTTCTCTGGAATATCAAACACCATGTTTATAAACCAGAATGGCATTAATGCATTCCAGTTTCACGGTTCAAGCAGACTAAATTGGACACTTTTCCCTCCATTACATTAGGTGAAAAACCAAAACAGCATAACTTCTTTTGAAAGCAGACCTGCTTAATTTTACTTTAAATATCTTCAAACTTGGGACAGATTTACTGTAGCTCAGAAAGCTGCCTTTTAAAGAAAATTAATTCTCAAGCTGGCAGCTGGCAACCAGGAGATTGTTAACTACAAGTGATGTTTTTGACATCCCTGGCCTAATCGGCACAATGCAGGTGCACATAATTTTGGATTTTGCAATGAAATTGGCTAGTTACCATGGCTGATCTTATCCATGAATAGTTTATTCAAACAAGACCACCGTGTCCTTCATAATATATACACTCCACTCCTGAATAGGCTCCAAGAATTCCAGCATCCTCTCTTCAATAGGCAGAGGCAGTATTGACACCACACAACATCACGGTATAAAGACCCAAGCTCTCCTAATAACACAAAGCAGAACATCTCCAAGATTCACATAACACTACCAGCAAATCAATACAATGCAACCACCAAAATCTATTAAAGCTACTTAATTTTAGTTCTCTTATGCCTGTATCCAAAGTTCAAATAGCAAAAATTGATCCAAGCAGCTTTTTAACTGTTTTCAGTTGCATTAGGTAACTGTCTCACATACGGGCCAGGTCTTCACCAGACATGAAGTAGTTCAGCTACACTGAAGTCAGCAGGTTCATACCCATTTACTCAATTATATGTGTATTTGCATGAAGCAGGTAAAAATGGATCTCTGCAAACTACAAAAACATGTCTATATGTTGTACAGGATATCACTATTCACTCACCTCACTGTTTTCCACTTCATTTGGGTCAAGCCCTACACCTGGAATCTCAAACTTTTTTCAAATGGTTCAGGGTGGCAGGGACCACTGGAGGTCATCTTGTCCAAACTTCCTGCTAACACCACGTCCCTTGGAGCACACTCCTCAGGACTGAGTACAGACAGCTACAGATATTTCCAGGCAAAGTGACTCTACAACCTCTTCGGGCAGCTGTTCCAACGTTCATTTATCTTCACAGTAAAAATGTTCTTATGTTCAGATGGAACTACCTGTGCTCCAGTTTCTGCCCATTGACTCTTGTCCTGTTGCTTGGCACTACCAAAACATCTGGATCCATCCTGTGACACCCTCCTTACAAGATACTTAAAAACATTGATGAGGCCCCCTCTCACAGTCTTATCTTCTCCAGGATAAACAGGCCCAGATCCCTCAGTACTTCCTTACAAATGAGGTGCTTCAGTCCCTTCATTATCTTTGCCACCCTCTGCTGGACCAGTTCCAGAATCTCCCTGTCTCTCTGTACTGAGGAGCCCAGAACTGGACACAGCACCCCAGATGTGCCTCACCAGGGCTGAGCAGAGGGGCAGGATCCCCTCCCTTGACCTGCTGCCAATGCTCTTCCTGATGCACTCAGGACACCATTGTCATTCCTGGCCACCAGGGCACTGCTGGCTCAGGGACAGTTTGGTGTCCACCAGCACCCCCAGAGCCTTCTCCACAGAGCTGCTTCCCAGCAGGTCTGTCCCCAGCCTGTGCTGGTGCAGGAGATTATTCCTTCCCAGGTGCAGGACCCCATACTCTGTTGAATTTCAAAAAGGTTCCACTCTCCTCATCCCTCCAACCCTCAGATCTTTCTGGAGAGTTCCACAGCCTTCCCAGCTTTGAATCATCAACAAACTTGCTGAAGAGACATCTGTCCCTTCATCCAAGTCACTGATGAACAAGTTAAATGATAATGGACCCAGTATTGAAACTTGGGGGACACCACTAGTGACAGACCTCCAGCTACATCTGTGCCACTGATCCCAATCCCCTGAGACCTGGCATTCACATATCTCTCAAACCACCTCACTGTCCACATGTCCAGTCTGCACTCCCTGAGCTTTCCTGTGAGGATATCATGGGAGTGCCAAAAGCCTTCCTTAGAGAAGGAAAAGAAGTCCAGGTGGACAACATCCACTACTCTTCCCTCATTGCTCCAGCCATTTGTCCCACCATAGAAGGCCATCTGGTTGGTTAAGCATAAATTCCCCATCCATGCTAACTACTCCTGATCACCTTCTTATCTTCCTTTCACATCAATGCACTTTGTTCCTTTTTTGATATCCACATTGCATTTCTACTCCAGAGTTCCCTAATTTATTCAGAACATGCCTAGATTTGCAAAGTGATTGAAAGTGACATTTTAGATTTTACTAACTGCTGCCAAGGAAGAACGTTCTTATTCACAGTCAAGGAAGAATAAAGCAAGTTTGAAGACAAAACACATGGATCTAAGTGAGCAGACAAAATGGTTTCAAAACATCATCTCCTGTCCAACAAAAATAATCGGTAGAGAAGTTTCTCTTCAAATGACCCATCAGTCAGAAGACCAGCCTTTCTAGCACATTAGCCAAAAGCTGTGTTCAGTTCCTGTGTCCCAGGAGAAAGGCTGAAGGCCCTGTTACAGTCTTTACCAGTAACTTACAGATAGGTTCACTCTACACAGTGAGTTGTGATCCAAGAACAAACTCTGTACCAGCAGACTTATTAATAAAACTAATAAATCTAAAGAGAACTTTTAGAACACTCCCATGTTGTAATTAAATTAATTAAAGCTCCTAGGAATCAAGCAGTTAACACAGAACTTAAATGTATTCTAAGCCACAGATATATACCAATAAAACAACCGCTGCAGAAATGATTCTTGGCAAGCTGTCAAGATCAACAAGCATTTGTCCTTCGCCCTTGCAAAGTTTTGAGGTATAACTCTTATTTAACACCAGATATTAAGCCTCCTGAGAAAAAATCCAGGTAGCATTGCTTGGCTGTGTATTTTAGATGCAGCTATACCATCTGGAACTATTCTCTAGAATCTCATCAGCAAGGCTCCATTTGTCAGGGATGCCATAATTTGATCACTTTTAGCTACTCCTGACATTTAACCCTTTGTGATATGTGAGGGTTTGAAGGGAGTTCAGATAATTTGGCACTGAATTAATTTCATTGAAAAGCACATGAAGAAGCTAGCAACAAACAAGAGCTTAATAAAGGTTATAGCTCCCAAAGGGCTGGTAAGATTTCATCTTTAAAGGTCCTTAGTTTCTTGAGAGAGAACAGAGCATTAAGTTGAATCAAAAAGGTCCTGTTCTCACTATGGAAACCATTCTGTTTTCCTTGGCACAAGCACAGTTCAAGTCATCAGCATATACACTGGAAGCCTACGGTAATCTGGGCTGCAGAACTTGCTGTCCACAATATACTTTTTTTACTTATTTTAGTCAGCTGTTGTTTTTCTCCCTTTAGAGAGTGAAGCACAAGTTAAAACTTCTCATTCCATAAGGATAAGTTCTTTGGTACAGTATCTATCACAACTGCATGTGACTGAGCTCAATGGCCTATGGGATCCCTTACAGTTTCAGGGGAGCTCTCCTGTAGAGCATCTGCCATGCAGGAGGAGTGAAGGCTGTTCAGGGTATACCCTGCGTCCTGCTGCAGTACAAGGTGCTCAAACACTGTTGGCAATACCTTCCTTTTTGCAAGTGCACAATACACACCTGGCCAACAGCCTGTAGTGCAGCACAGCTGTCTCACAACTGCCTGGATTTGCCAACAACTGTGATCTTTATGCACTGGAGGTCATGTTCCTAATGCAGCTAGAAAAACAGAATACCTCTCAAGAGCAGCACGTATGGAAATTACAAGTTAGGTTCAATTTGCATGTGATAGTTGAAAGAATTTTCCTACTTCACAGGGACTGGCAGGAGTGTCAGTGGGTTAAAAGCAAGACATGCAGTTTGCACACACTCCCAGGCTGTTAGATACTGTACAGTACCACAGGGTAAGAGGAAAACAGAAAAGAGAATGCAAGTTAGCTTCAACTAAACATTTCAATAGCATCCAAGAGCAGAAAAAGTGTATTTTACCTTTGCCCAAGACAAAAAAAAAGTCTCAGTTACTTCTTTGGGACTCTGGAATCACAATATGCAGTAGGCTGTGCAGTTTGGGAAGCAAATTTTGTCTACTTCCAGAAACAGACAGTTTAGTATATGGATGTACCACATTTCAGATCTCATGTTTTAAGCCACTGAACAGTGCCAGTTTAAATGCCAATATCAGCTATGAAGCTGCTCATCTAAGACATTCTGCTGAAGGGATGAAAGCAAAAACAGGACTCTCACCATACAGCTTCTTATTGTGATACTCAAAAATGTATCACTTGCAAGAACTATCCAAGTGCTTCTTCAGCTCTGTGAAGAAAGGTTCTGGGTTTCCAGTAGTCAGAAAGAAGCCTGATTCAAAGGCCTCAATCTATGCTATGGATGGGAGAAGCTACCATAAACCAACCCAGCAGTGGTGAAAAACAAATGAATAAACAAACAAAAACATACAAGTTAGTTTTTCTTTTTAAAAACATTTTTTAAAAAATTGTCTTTTTAAAGAGAAACTGTTTAAATGAGAGCAATATTTGAAGTCAGGCTGATAATTCACCTAAACTAAAAAGTCTGTCAATATACTGAAAAGATATTTTCATTTTATATCAAGTAATTATAACAAAGATGTTTTTACAATAGTAAAAAACCTTTTATAAACAAATGCCAGGCTTAAAGGAATTATTTTTATTCTGTCACATGGATTTTAATGAGTTTCTCCTGTCACTTTAATTCACTGCCAAAAACACCTGTGCCATCTGCCCTTTGAGCCTATTATGCTCACAGAAAATGGATTTTTTATTTTTCACTCCATTGCAAAAACAAACCACTGTGCGGCAAGACACAAACAATCCTTTAAAAAGTTTCAACTTCAAGAGCTGAACTAAGGGACAGTATTCGCACTTCTAAGTAGTTATGTAATAGCAAATAGAAAAAAAGCCTTACAAGCACTGTCTTCTTAATTAGCTCAGCACAGAAAGGCTGTGTATGACTGAAAAGGGACTACACTAGCGTGCATCATATTCTTCCCCACTCCAAATTCCTGTCAGTCAAAGGTGTCCTGATTCCTCATCAGCACAGGTAGCAAGGAAGAAGTGTGCTTTCAGGATTTGGTTTTGTACTTCCATGGGGCCAGTTGTTTCTGTCTGCAGACATACATTTCAGCCCCTTTTCAGTGATGTCTGTGGCTCCCTTGCCTTCTTTCATTGGTAATTCAGTCAGCTCATACTCTACTGCCTCAGAGGAGGCTCAGACACCCATGCTTGCAGGAATGCACAATTCCAAATCAGATCACTCTCAGAGCACGGTACTAAACTCAAAGGTCTAAGAATCCTGTTTCATACGAGGTCAGCCTCCCGTTTCTCCTCTCAGAGGCATTTGAAATCCACCTACCTTTGCAGCGGCCACGATGTGTCACGCTCAGACTCGGCTCACGGCACTTGGCTCTCTGGTAGTCACACATCGACTCGTATGTTCTGCCATCAGAGGCACACAGGGGTTTGGACTGGGACCTGGAGCAATGCAGGTTACACTGGGGGTCTCTGTCACGGTCGCTTATTAAAAACTGAAGGAAGTGAAAAAAGGAGGGAGAAAAAGAAACAAAACAGTGGTTTTGTTTGGTTTCCCAAAACTGAGGATGGTGTATTTTTTTATTTATGACAGTAACAATATGACTACAATGCATTTTAAGCTGCCTAACAAAGCTGACTTTGCCTAAAGGGAACTTTAAATGAAACACGTACATCTTTAAAAAAAATTAACGGTCTTTACCATTCCATTCTTCTTAATAAAATGGAAACATTACTCACTCTGCCTCACCTCTAAAAAAGTAAGATGTGCACAGCCAAACACAACCCACACGGGAAGGGCAATACTGAGTCACAACAGCCAAGCTTGCCCAGTGCTGTGCCACAAACAGTATCTGGTACTAGACAATTTTAGTCAGAGACATGAAAAATATATCACCAAAGACAGAGGAATGCAAATTAACTGTCAAGATTGGCCTTGGTACTTGAACCATGCATGTGACCAGTTTTATATCACCAGTGATGTTTTTGAAAGCATTGTTTAGATCATCTGTAAATACCACCTGCAAGAGCATACCTGCACATTCCCAAAGTCACCTTTTGTTCCTTCCTGATGACACCCAGCTCATTGCGCACTATGCAAAAACCTACTTTGTTTCAGAAGTTGGAATTCGTATCATCTTTCTGGATACCTCTTCTTCCTGAGCATTTCATTATGATGCAACCCATTTTGTACAAACGTGGCATTAATTTGTCAGTCTTCTGCAGTTTCAATAATCCCGACCTTCGGATTTCTCACCCAGACCACTTCTCTCCATATCATGATCACTACTGTTTTTCTTGGGATTCTGCTTTATTTTTGGTGATGAGAAACCCACAACGCACATGAGTCCCCATCTTCTGTCTGCTTGTTCCCTGCAAATCCCAACATCTGGAAGTAGTTTACTGCTGTACCCTCAACTCTACCCTAAGCTGCCTATAGGGACACCCAGGTCTCTTTCCCAAGTTCATATTGTTTTCCTGAGAATCCAAACTGGCGGTCATCTTTCCATAACCACTTGCAGAAATTTTTGTCAAGTCACAATAGTAGCAGCCTTTTTCTCTTCCCATACTACCCCACTTAGTGGTTTGTCAGACCTTTATTACCCAAACCCAGTCACCTGCTCACAGTAAGATTTCAGAGGAATGTTCAAACAAGTTCCATGAGGATTAAGGAAAGAAAAGGCAAGCCAAACCTGCCTTGCACTTCCCCATCCCTACCTCCCATTTCTACAGCCTCCTGCAACCCTGGGGGCACCAGAGCTGCTCTCTAACACACTGATATCCCAGCTCACTGTCAAAGCAGTTCTGAGCTCAGCAGTTCAGAGCTGGCTGGCAAATGGGCACTGACTGACACCCTGCCTGTATGCACAAAGCCACAGCTCTCCAAGTGTGTTGATAGCTGGATGCCTTACAGGGAAGTGTGAGTCACAGCCATAATCACCTTGGTGTTACAGTTTCCTACAAAGCTGTCTACTCTATGCTTTGAGGTTAAAGCTGTTGAAAAAACATTGCCTGAAGCCTAGTTTGGGTTGGTTTTTAACCACTCCAAGAACATGCATCTCTGAAATTTGGTTGTTGATGGGTTTTTTTTCATTACAAAAAATCTTTTCTTCCCAGTAAAATGAAGAACAATTGGGAAGTTTCATATTTTCATATTGTACTGCTGTATCTTCTAAAGACTAATGCATTATTAAACCCCCTATTTAAACATGACAGCTGGGAAAAATAAGCAAGGCTTGCATTCATTTTACTTTTGTTGGGACAGACTTTTTTTTAAATCTCATCTGTCACAGACTTGACGTATTTGTTACAGCAAAATGTTTTTGAAATGTTTTTGTTCCCTTTCTGCAACACATCCTATAACCTGGCAACACCTGCTCTAAATGGGAAATTGGAAAATTTAAACCTGAAGGCAATTTTAAATTGTTTATAGAGACCTGGACTAGACTATAAAAACACTGTAAAACTGGGCCAGATTTTTTTCTTTTCAGTGGTTGGACTATCACAACTTAACTTGGAATTGCTCTGGCTACAGTAATGTCTTTCTGTCACCCCCAAAATGCAAAGACTGGTAGTGACTGTAAACATAAAGCAAAAAGCAACTGACTGAAAACGCTGAAGCCTCCTCCCAGCATGTGATGTCAGACACTGAAAGACTCTACATGGCTTTTCAGGTTTCTGTATGTATAAACAGATTTTCAAAGCAGAGCTGCCTGATAGGGCAGTATGATACACATGCAGCAATTAAGTATTCAGTTCAACACAGCTCTCCTATTTATCACAACTGGAGACTTGAGCTACTGGCATGAAACGTTTTGCAAATTCCTTGTCAGAAGCTGAGTTCCAAAGGTATGAGTTATCCAGATGTTCAACAAAAAATCTAGAATACTGGTTCTCAGCATCAAACCATATTACCAACTTATTGAAAGTTATCTTTTAACATTAAAACTCACTTAAGCCTTCCACAGCCTGTACTAAAACACTTAATATAGTGGGGGCTTATACATCAAGAACACCCTTTCTTCATTCTAAAGAACAGAAAGTTGTTCTCAGGGCTGACAAACAAGTTAAACCTAAGGCTGTGGAAGAGCTTTCCTCAGGTGCCTCCTTGCAGACAGAGAAAGAACTCGACATTGATGAATTATGAGGGCCTGAGGAAACATGCAGAGCACCCCAATGCAGTTTGTGAAGTTCTTGCCTACACAAATTAAGCCAAGAACCACGTTATTAGAAAAAAAAATTTAAAAAAATCAAAAGCCTTCTTAGCATTTGTAATTTGGATTACAGTAGGGCGCCCACACAGCATGTTCGGTGCTTTCCAGACACTGGAGATGCCACACCTGCCTTGCCAAAAAAGTTTATGGTTTACATAGCTGCACAAGATGGTGCTTGTTTTCTTCAGGTAGATTGGAACTGTGCAAGTCTGCATTGAATTCAAGAAGGATCCAGGATCACACCTGTCTGATCAGAGCTGTTGTCACGCAAGCAAACCGCGCTGCCAGAAAAGCAACATCTCCAGGAGATCCAAAGGGCTTCAAAAACTCCCCCTAAGAGCAGCGTTCCTGCTCCACTGCAGCTCACAGCCCGTATCTTTGCTCAGCAGCCCTGACAGCTTTATTCAGGTAAAAAATGGTGGTTCTTTGTCCCCTTTCTAGCAGGTAACCATTCCGCTACAGAAGTGATGGTCAATACACATCACCCACAGACATTTAATATACTAAATGTTTTGAGTGTACATCCCCTCCTGCCCAGCACAAAAAGTCTTCCTTTAGCATTTTGCCAGTCTGAGAGCATGGCCTCCTCTGCAAGCAACCTCAGCTGCATGAAGAAAAAGAATGGATGAATGCTAAAACGTGTCTGCCATGGGGAGATCTCTTGGTTCTGTAATTTTAACAGCTAGGACCACAAACCACAGGTAGTCAATTTTATTTGTATTTTATAATTCCTACTCTGAGCAAGGAGGCACTGCTTTCCCAAGGGCACAGCCCTGCTCCAGAAGAGCCCCTTGGTCACTGCTGGAGATACTGCTGAGCTGGGCTGAGGGCTGTGAGAAATGTGCCCTAATGCCTGGTACCCACCCTCCCCAGACACAGCCAAGCCAGGAATGTGATTCTCTGGTCTTTCCACGGGAAGAGCAGCAAGGTAAATATTCTGCCTTTAATACCAAATGTCCTACGATGACCTTCGAAGCTCAAATCAAAGCCTGATGTCCAACAGCTCCAGGATGAACACACAAACAGACTTTGCCAACAACAGAATCACTACTCACAGCGCTCGGTGCTCTACACACAGATACACAATGCGAGCAAACCTGCACTCAGGGAAAAAGCAAACCTGCAAACATGTGCAGCACCAGAAGCTTTCCAAGCTTCATCCAGAAAGAAGAGGAAAATAATTATCTTAGCTCTGAAATTTCTCAAAGCTTCTTCTTGATTTCTGTGCTCCCATTTGTTTCAAAACGGACTACATCCAAAGCAAATGGAATTGGAGACAGCTTATCAGTTCTTTATCTCCTCCCTTTTCCTTCAAGAGAAGAAAGCTATTAAAAGTAGAACTAAAAGGAAAACAAACAAACCACCACAAACACAAAACCCCAGCTAAAAAAAGAAAAACAAACAAAAAAAATAACCAAAAAACCAAACAAGCTCCCTTCCAAAACTAGAAGGAATCATCTATTTTACAGGAAAAAGAAAAAATTGACTGCAAATGGGATTCTTTGAATATAGACTCAATACTAAGGTAAGTAACACTAATATTAATCAACAGTATTTGTATTTATGTAACATTTATTTACACTAAGGGAGTCTGCACAGCACCTATTCCAGCCCGTTTGAGTCCCTGCCCTAAAGAGTTTTCAGTTCAATGCAGCTCTCAGAGCATCTTATGTCAAATGTTCTATCTATATAAGGACACAAACGTCCTCCTTTAGCAAATACATTTACACAGGTGTTTGCAGAAACCACTTCCCAAACTGCTTTCTGCTCCTTCAGACTTGAAAAGAAAAAGGAAAGATAAGAGGTCAGAATGAAGTTAACTTTGCCAACAAAGCATATCTGTTCTTTTTCTCCACACCTCAACACCACTGCTGACAAACAACAAACACTGATTAAAGGGTTTTTAATGCCTGTGAAGGAAAGCAGACTCCCTGCAGCTGCACAGCAGCTGGGAACACTTGTGTTATTTAGCAGAAAAAGGTCTGACCCCACAAGTGAAAATGAGCTTGGTGGTCACTCATTCTATTCACCATCTGGGTACATTGTAAGCACAAACAGAACAGCACAGCCTTTTGTGATGGAGGTAACGAGAAATGGCCAAGGCATTGTAGTACCACAGTAACATGCCTTAGCAAGGCTTCAGGGAAAAGAGGGAGCAAGGGACACAAATGACATGAACGTGAGAAAGTGGAAATCTGTTGAGAAACAAATCTAGAGTTCACTAGAGATAAAAACAGAGGTACCTCTGCTATTTAGCAGCTTCCCTTCAGATTAGTACTGCA